TCCTGTATGCATTTTCTAAATAGCTTATTGATACATATAGTTACGGTCCGTTTCTCATCCTGTAGCCAGGTGTACTGACTTATGGACAGGAAATTGCAACATCTGGCCGAATACAGTTCGACGATTAGAATTCGATGTCGACATTTGAAAATGCTGGAGCCAGGAACTGTGCTTCCAGCGGGGCAGAATGACCTTCATATTGAGGAATATCGGCGATGACGGACAGCGCCAGTCAATACCCATCGGCCTTCTTGGTGCGACTCTTCTGGAGGCCGAGTCTCGCTTTCGGCCTCTCTGCAGAGTGATGGGAATGTACGTCGAACTTACAGGACTTTTTCGGTCTAAAAGTTCTAGAGCGAAGCTAGAGCAGCCTTGACTTTATTCGCAAGCTTCAATCTCTCAACCATAGACAATCTATCTTGATCAGCATCTACTGTCTTCGGCTCCTCTGACTTGGCTTCAAATTTCTTGTCTGCCGTCTTGGTATGCGTAACACCAGAATCCTTCATGGCCTTTTCTCTTCTCTTCTTTCCATCCTCATCCTTGATGATATCGGGCAGTATCTCATCCAGTACATCTCCCACGATGAACATTTGTGGTCCACCCTTGACCTTGGCCGCGCCGGCCGCCTTCAGTATCTGCCTCCATTCTCCTTCTTGCACACCAGCGTTGATAGAAGACTCCTCCAAGATTTTCTGAACCATCACGATAAGCTGCGGATCATTGCTATTGCCCTCAGGTCCTTGGCTAGCATCGAAACCCTGAACCGCCATTCTGATCTTAATTTCCTTTCTAATTGTCTTCAGGACCACGTTACATTTCCTAACCATCGAGATGTAATCAATCCGCATGGCTTTAATGGCTTTCGGGAGGTAGTCTTGCAGGTAGCCAAGGAGTTGGAGGGGTGTGAGCTGGGGCCGATATCTGGTCATTGCCTTTGACTTTGGCTTTCCTGCGGAATGCTCTTCCTGGATAAGATCTTCCAGTTGATTTAGAGACTGTTGTAGAGATTTCTTTTTGGCGAGTGATTGCCGGAAGATCGTTGACATCTTGGTGTCTTTCAATTCTGGCCCCTTTTTCATGCCTGGGCGGAGCCGGCGTGACTCCTGGACACACAAATCGCGTGCATTCTTTTTGATGGAGAACCCGAATTGCAGCTCAAATCTCATAAAGCATTCTTTCTCACCGATGGGTAATGCCCCTGCAAAGATTGTCCCCATGTGGGTCTCAATGATGTGATCCAGCTCCTCCCAGCGTGTTTTAGAGCAACCGGTCTGAAGAGCTGCGTTGTATAGATGTGCTACGCAGAAGATCGCTTGGTGGTGGTTTGCAAGACATGTGCCCGCTGTTTCTACCAAGCAAGCAAGTTCAAAGGCTTTGAATCCGCTTAGAAAAAGGTTGCGAGCATAAAGAAATGTATCCTCTCGATTTGGGGGTATCTCTTTGTGCTCGTCGATCATTTTCCGGGAAGAACTACTTTCTACCGCATTCCTCAATTCTAGAGGCATATACTCTGTTCGACCCACACATATAGGCTCAGGCATACACTCGGATGTATGGGGATGGACAGCTCGCAATTCTTCCGCCGAGTGGTAAAACTTGAGGGGCTTCCTGTTCTTCAGGCATTTGTCGAGCCAAGAATTTTTCATCTTTTCATAAACATTCTTTTCGATCCAACTACACTCCTCATAAATCTTCGTAATTTCGTCCACGCCCCAGTTTGTACGCCAGCGCTCCCCTTGTATCTTAAGCGCCCCGTTTGGGTGTGTGCGAGCATGTAGATTCTCCTTTGCGTAGACCGAGTCCCGATGAAATTGCTCCCAGCCTCGCCTTACGTGATGAGGACCCAAAATCTCTTGAATATCCACAAGTATTCGGCAAGCAAACACAAACCAAGAACTAATCTCGCGTCTTTTTGTCAAGTTGTAGAATCCTCGAGTAAACTCATCCTTGGCAAGACCCTCAACAGGGTAGTTCATGTCTGGTTTAGTAATTCCCATCTTAAACTGGACTCCGGCGGTGGCCGTCATATCGTTGAAGGTCATTTCCATCATGTACTGGCAGAGAAACGTATCCTCTGCTTCCATTTTCTGGACCTCTGGTTGATTCAACATATTCTGGTCAAACATATAGGACATGTGGGCATGAGTAACAGGCTGTGGGAACTAAGGAGCAATGTTCGTAAGTATTTTGCATGTATGTCCAGGATTGGTGACTTACGGCAGCCTTGATTTTGGCGAAGGTCTCGAATTTCATGAGAGATCTGGCAGTCGGCAAGTAGATGAAGTTATCGAACGGAGTTACTTGAAGGGATAATGATGCCTGGAGTCAAGATGTCATCGTCAGCATAGAATCTCCTAGAAAACAGGTCTCCAAGACAGAAAGATGTGATGTCGCAGAGGACTACAATATCCTCTCCTACAGATGAGGAACTATACCTTTATCATATCGTCTACACTCATGTTCATGTCAAAGACTTCCGGGTAGAAGACTAAACTTGAGAGCAACCCATACGAGAGGTCTCGGTGTCCGTAGAGGAACCAAGTAAGCTGTTCTTCCTCCCGACGCACAATGTCGAACGCAGAATTCGTGACAAGCGTTGCGGTCATCAAGTCGATAACCCCTTCTTTGTAGGATCCCCATGTGTCTGCGAGGAAATCCTGAATCCGGTGCAGATCTTCGAAGAAGCAGAAGACGTCGAACCCTTTGTCATATGCATTGTCGGTCTCGAGCTCATAAACATCCACATTTTTAGGAGGCGGAGCCTTTGACTTAGGAACAAGTTTACTCCCAATATTCAATACCTGTATAGTAGCCGAAGCATCCGCGATGTCCTCCAGTTCTTCAACCTCGAGATTACTGAATCGATTGCTTAATCCATTGAAGTTGTGAGTCTCTGGTCTCAATTTCGGCTTGGGTTGCGGCTTCGGGGTGGTTTTTGGAGCCTCGGCGGCGGTATCTAAATGTTTGACAGAATTAGCAAATATCCGTAGAATAAAGTAAGATTACAACATGGACCGGTAACTTGTCCCACCACGAGGAGGACAAGTCTGGGCCAGGGGCTACTAACTTCCAGAACTTGGCTTCAGAATGCCGACGGCTTGCTCCAGAATCTCAATAAAATGTAAATGTCCCTCTGTGGAATGGCCATTTTCGACACCAGTTGACGCAAACCAATCCGCACAACGCCTACGAGCCTTAATCGCCCGTTCCACGACCTGGACAATGGTATCCGGTATCTTGACCTTTGCGTTCTTGGACACTATCTCCGCCTGCCGCAGAAGATCTCGGGTTCGGACATAATGCTTTGTCGTAGAAAGAGGCTCGGGTTCTGTATCTGCCGCTGCCGCGTTCGTCGCTGTAGGATTCCTCTTTTCTTCCTTCTTCTTCGCCGCCTTCTTCGCTTTCTCCTCTGCTTGTGCTCGCAGCTTCTCAGCTAGTGTCAATGTCGATTTTGGAGCTGCCGCACGTGGAGTAGGGGGGCTCGGAGTCGGGGGCGGAGGTTGTTCTTTTCGTGCTGATTTGGGAGCTTTGTATCCGCACGATGCTGCTGTCTTCGCTAGCCATGTCGTGAAGACATTGGTGTCGTTCTTGTAACGCTGGTAGCTACCTGTGAGGATGTCCGGGAGCATTTTAGAGGTATTTAATGCTCTCCGCTGTGTCTTGAATGTCTGTGAATGGGTCGGGATAGGAAGTGGTGAAGTAATGAATTTCAATCTCTGAGCCACGGCTCAACATGTAGGAGATGGGAAGCCTCATTCTATTGTACAAATTAGCTTTGGAAATTCGATTTCGGTTCTTGAGCCGGGGCATACCTCCAGAAAGGGGTCATCCAACCCTGCACTAGTCGAGTATTGCTTTTTGTTTCGAAGGTACTCCATTGAGTCGTGATGTTCAGGGATTCGCGTCGTGGTTTCTAGCGTAACGCGCAATCAGGAGATCGTCTTCAGGGGCTGAGCGCTAAGTAACCGCGGATACCCGTTTTGACCGGGTAACCGCCTAGTTTTACTAAGCGCCCAATTTTACTAACCGCCCCAGCTTTACTAACCGCCTGTTGGGAAACTGTGTGTGTAGTGAAGAATGATTCATTTTGTAAGGCTACGGCATGAGAGTTAAGCTCGGTAGGCTACGCTAGACCGGATTAGGCAGCATCAGCTGACCGCTGACCTTCACGTAATACCGCCCAATTAGAAAAAATCCGATTTGTACAATTTTAATAAATTAAATTTTTATTAAAATAATATTTATTTATAAAAAATATAACTTAAAAAAATATTTTTATATTTATTATATATTTCTTATTAATAAAAATATAATATTTATAAAGTATTAATTTTTAAATTACTATTATAAAATATATTATTATATATATATAATCGTATTTAAATTTATAATAATATTTATATATATAAATAATTTTATAAAAGTTTTTTTAAAATAATAATTTTTTGAATAAAAATCGCGAATTTTTTTTTTAATTGGAAGTTTAATAAGATTAAGCGATTACTTGGTCAAAACGAGTAAGGGCTAGCCCGTTTCTCAGTACCGATTCTTCCTTTCGAATTTCATGGATAGCACACACAGTAAGAGAAAGGAGAAAAAGAAGAGATCGGATTGTAGAGATGAAAATATGATTAGAGAGTAGAAGGAACGATGCTCCGTCTGACATGAGCTCGAGTTCGAGCTCTCACTTCGTAGGTTGCCGGTGGTTCGATTTCTCACTGTATTCGCTGGCGGTGATTCTTCTATGAATGCTTATTTATTGCGATTGAATTATTTTATTGCAACTTTCGCCTTGTCGAATTGACAACGTCAAGCTCGGAACCATAAGAAAGCTGTTCTTGCTGTACCTGATCTTTTGGCTGGCTTGATGTTGGAGGCGCTGCCCAGCTGCAGTCGCTCGTTTCTGTGATGCTTTCCATATGGGCATGAGACCAAATTTCGGCTTGAAGGAGTCCGTATAGATTTAAATAAACATCTGCTTCTCCAACAAACAAGCAGCGTCGATGGTTTAGTGGTAAAATTAACCGGTCAGATCAATTATTCAACTGTACAAACAAGCATCTTCTAACAGAAAGCAGTTGCCAATGTGTTTACTCACAAAGTCTCGGTTAGCCCCGGGTTCGATTCCCGGTCGACGCATAATCCTTTTTTTCCTCCTTTCTTTTTGCTTCTGCGTCTCTTTTAGTATCATAAATAGGTATTGTTTGTGTTTTACGGGTCTTGGATTTGATGAAATTTCGCCTATTCGGTCTTGCCGAGGAAGGTCTTCGAGGTGCCTTCCATTTCTGTACATCGAAGCTTCTCCCACCGTTCCGATTCCGATAGCAAACTAGGGTGCAGTTCACGCTCCACTGGGATTTGGTCATTTTCTTCTGACGTGATAATCAATTGATGTCTTTAGGTCTGAAATTCCTCTCGGAGCACAAAACTTTTCTCTTAGGCTTCGAGGACATGTTGCTCTACGATGCCGGAACTCAACCCCAGTGTCTAGGAACTGCTCATAGTCCAACCTGAAATTATTGCTGAGGACATGAGTCCGGCCTGCCCTCACAAGTTCAACCTTGACTCGAATGAACGCAATTCTCCTCAAGTATCGAGATTTGATGCGAATGTCGAAATGGAACAAGTGCGCCTTCATATTTCTCCCTTCAAGTTTAACGTATTAAGTTAATGAGTCTTAGGACCAGCGCGATCCCCAGGTAATAAATTGCAAGAGCAGGACTCGATATGCTCATAGGTTGATCCGCTTAGGATGGTTCTGATAGAGAATGATCTTGTTGAATAGCAATCAGAAGAGCTTGAAGGTGTTGAGGCTACAGCCTCGAGTCAAGACGCACATTCATCAACTCATTGTTCTCTATGTCTCGTCGATGGACAATGCTTCTTGAGAACGAATGGAATGTTTGATAGAAGGTGGAAACTTTTGACAGGGAGAACGTCCTGGCTAAGGAGGTGGATTGGCAGTGCTCAATTTCGATTTCGTAAGAAGACGTCCAAGAGCCTCAAATTTGTGCCTCACTTCGATTGATGGGCGCTTCAAACGTTCTCTAGTCGGCGTGGAGTTACTCTTTAGTCAATTTCATTTGACCTATTCGTGATGGCTCTTGCCATTTCGTACGCTCTTTCCCTCCTAAGTTCAACAAGCGCCAAAATCCGCCTCCTCCCTCGTCGACTTTCCTCCAATCTTTCACTCCAATACCGCACTTCCCAAATCCAGAGTCATCAATCTCCAAGCGCAATATGGATTTCACCACGCGTCTCCGGTAAGGCATCCGCCTCCTCGGATACGCGCTGCGAAACACCACAACCTCCTCGATTCTTCTCTTCGCCCTTTTGGTCTCCATGACAGTGTTCTACGCCGCATTGTACAACTGCACCATCATATGCTTTATCGAGACGATGGTTCCTTGCCATATCTCGCTTTACTTTCGCTGTGTCATCGAACTCTACGCATTCATATGCGCCGGCATCGTCCACAGACGCGCGAAGTACATCTACGAACGCAGCTACGACGAGAAAGGCATTAGGAAAGGATGCCGCAAAGTCCCACAACCTACCTCCACGTCGACCACCGAGAATAGGATACATATCACTGAGATCAAATACGCCAAGCACACCAAGCACGGCGGCAAATTGACCTGGTGCAATGAGCTCAGCAGACCCAAGCCATTTAGAGAGATTGAAGGCACCCCGCCAAACGCGCTGCTGTTCTACCTCTCCGGCTCCATTCCTTCTTTAATCCGCGCCTGGGCCATGGTCAAGGTGTGGAGGTATGCCTTTCAATGTTTTGCGTCGCCGCTGGAGGAACATGCGCACGAAGATTGTCTCTGGCTTTGTTGGACAATTATTAGGAGCTTGGGGCTTTTGGCGCTTTGCATGCTGACTATCACATTGGTCATGGCTTGGACCGCGTTTCGATTCGTGGAACCTCTGATATACGCGGTATACGATTCTAGTTGGGAAGTACGAAGGCGGATGTTGAGACCGTCGTCGAAGAGCGAGAGCGACGAGGAGACGAAGCTTAAGTAGGAAGGTTGCGTGTGGCACTTTTTCTTGTCCGTCTGAATGTGGGATACCGGCCTTGCTGTTGTGAAAGGAGCGAGGTGGAAAGTTGGTGGGCAATTGCTAGTTAAAGTTTGTTTCTTTAGCTTCGGGATAGGAAAAGGGCAAGACATATGGCAGTACGAACACAATGAAAAGATCGTCAAATGCAGAACCTTCGCGGTGAATATCCCAAGTATGGTGTACATTCTTGTATTCCCACCTCTATCAGCGGTCCTCGAGCAGCGCCCCCCATCTTTCAAGTTCTCTCCTCAATACTCTTCCTCGTATCCTCCCAAGCAGTTTCTACATACCACCACCAAATCCTCACAACATACAATCAGCCAATCCACTTCCTCCGTGAAATAAACGACAAAGGCTTCTACCATGGCATTGTCCTTGACCTCAAACTCCTCCTGTCCGTAAGTCAAGCGTTTGAGGTAGCCTGCTTCGCCGCCTGTTTTCGCCTGTTGGTGGATGCGTGCCAGATCAAGTGAGAGGTTTGAATGATAGACCAGAAGAGAAAAGCGGTTTTGCGGGGACATGTTGGAGGAGAAATTGATTGCTTTGAAAGAGAGCAGAACTAGAAGAGGCTGAGGACAGTGGCGATGCCGGTAAGGATGGAGGTTGTTTTTTGAGCGGAGGGTTTCCTTGGGGTTGCACCAGGATGTGATGGTGGGGAGTGTAAGTGGCGATTCTACCACCTTGTGAGATGTGGGATGAACATGGAAAGAAATCGCGTTCGGAGTACCAGCGCAAACTAAAAGTTAAGATCCTTGTTCTTGAATACTTTCTCTATCAAGCACTGACTGCTTCCCAGGACCCGGATCTCGCGGGGGTGGCTGAAAGGTAGGAGGTGCCGATGATCGAGGGTTTCTCATGTCATGTTGCAGGTGCAGGAAGCCTTGTCCAGACCATGCTGCAGACGGAGCACAAGATAATGCTGAGTCCCTGGAAGGGGTCGGTACGACACGGGATGTGGCCGTTTCAACATCTTCGTCGTTATCCGGATCATCTTCTGGGTCTGGATCATTTTCCTCTGTGGGCCATGGGTCTCTCCAATCTTGAACCATTCGTTTGCCTTCTACGAAGTGCATTCCCACATGATCGCATCTATCATCCCAATTTGAAAAGGTGGTCCCACAAAAGCCGCATTGACGTTGCCAGTGTGAAGAAATAGGATATTGCCATGCGTCGAGCTTCGGCATATAGCCGTGCTCCTGTTTGACCTGTTATTTCCAAAGAACTGGGGTCAGTATACTATTCTTTTCCGAATTCTAGGCAACTTCTGTAGAGCAGAATGCTAGTAAGGAAGGGCCGAGATGGTAGAGCTTACATGGTAGGCTAGTTTGTCCTTTCGAGGAAACTCATGACCCTTTCTAGGCATCCGACTAAAGCATCCAGCATGGTCTTGCTGATATTGTTCAACATTGAGATCAATATACTCGCCACAAACGTGGCAAGCGATATTCGGGGAAAAGCCTTCAATCAGACATTCCCAACGCCGTTGAGGCCAGTGTATCTCTTCATGGCGTTTCCAGTCCGTAAAATTAGGATTTTCTTGAAGACATCGCCTCCCGTTATCTGCAATATGAGTACATTGGTACACTCTTGAGGGGTTGGCGTCTCTGACTATTTTGCGTCTCTTTTTTAATGGTGGTTGTTGTCGTGGTGCGTCGCTCGACTGGTAGGCGGAATCTCGCAGCGGAGCTGGCTCTCTAGATTGACCATATGACCCTATTTGATTAAACCAACGAGCAACTTGATCTGTCGAAAGGCCATAAGACTGTGCTTTAGACGCTAAACTATCGAGCATAGGTGCAAGGTCCTGTTGTGCCTTGATGCAAAACTCTAATTGTGTTGTCGAAATTTCCAAGAACGTCGCCAGGCTTTCCTTTTTTGTGTCTGAGAGCGGCTTTCCATGCGAAAGTGCCTTGTTAAGAATAGCTTGGGCTTCAAGGAACGTATTGGTATCTATTGCTGCAATCGAAGATGGGGTGGAGATGCTAGCAGAGTTCCGACTAAGAGATTCTCTAGGATGCGAGCGCCGCTTTTCACGTGTAGCTTTGGTGGAAGTAGTAGATGGGCTGCGGGAAGAGGCAGCCAAAAAATTGTCGTGTGAACGGTCAGATGGGCGACTTGTGAAATCAAATTGTGCTAAATCCTCCAGGAAGGAACTCTAGTTAGCGTCTTTTATATAGATACACTCAGACGGAAAGATTGTGTGCAACAAAAGCTCTCGCATGATGGACTTACTCGTTTATTGGGTGACAAGCCCGCCAATGTAGGCAGTAACTCGGAAGTGAAGTCTTTATCTCGAGCCGCTACGCAAGAGACACAGTAGCATTCAATACCAGGGGAGGCGAAGCAATGAAGTTGGCCTGGCCCAATATACTCTGAAGGTTCATTAGCATAATGGTAGTACATTTCAAGACTAATACCGAAAATGTACCTACCACTGTTACCATTGTTGACTAGCGGGTTTGGAAGAATTTCAGCAAAATTTGGTCGTTTGGCATTTGCTGTCATCGCGTTTGACGATACCATATTGGTGGAGGGCTGATCATCGGTTAGGTTTATACAACTAAAACAGACCGGCTAAGACACTGAGGATACATACAATTGCATTCGATCCGTAGGAGGTGATGGCGGCTTGACGCTGTCCTGGGCGTGAAAGCGATGTCGAGTGATCTAGATGAGGCGGTGTCCCGGCAGTAGCGATCCTTTCTTCATCTTCTTCCAGTTCCTCTGGAGTGTCGTATTGAATATTTTCTGGCGTTTCTAGTCTGTATAAGCTAGGTTCAAAGAATAGAATCAACGCATATGCTTACTCTCTCTCGCAGCAACTTCATAGACACTGTGTTTTCTCGCAAATCGCTCAATCTTATCCTCGTCGACGATTTGGCCACTCATTCTGAAGACTGTCGGTTTCCCTATCTCTTTACGGTCGTGCCGTTTTCGAATCATGAACTGCATTTCTGAAGTGCTGACATTTTTCTCAAATTTCCACGCCTTTAGCTTGCTCTTGAATTGCTTTTCTCTTGTCATTGTGAGCGCTGTACTTGAGAAGAAACATGTGGGTTAGACGTACGAAGCAT